ATGGTAAACTTCATCGTCATCACCTGAACTAGTCACAATCATTATCAACATTTTAAAATCTTTGCCACTTTTTACACATGAATAACATATTGTAAATTGAATTGAAAAAGTAAGCATGATGAGTACTGTGGAAGTAATATCATATCAGTGAAAACTCACCAGAAAGTGGACATTTCTGAACATTAATAATACTTTTAACCCCTCTGTCACATGTATATCACTCATTCTTGTCAGCAGATTTTATAGTCTTCCTTAATGATGACACCAATCTAGAGTAGTTAGTTTAATTAATGAGTAATTTAATTAGTTTTTCCGGCTAAAGTAAAACAGAATTATAAAGTACTTGTCAATTTTTTGTATTTTTAATGTATTTTCTGTGTATTGAAGTTTCTCTAGCAGTTTGAAAGATTTAGTGGTGTGGAGTTCCTAGCCTCACACCCAACCCTCCCTCTTTACCCGGACTTGGGAACGGCTGGAAAACTTGAGAGCTAGTTGATGAGGCAAGGTTATTCACTCAGATTTAGAAAGGTATAATCAGTGATAGTGTCTAGTACATTGTGTTAATTCTGGCTCATTTGACTACTTTATTCACTCAGGAAGTTTTCCTCAGTCTCCAGGATTTCTAATCAGTACGGAAGTATGATCTACTACTACCGGTGTCTTAATTGCTTATGGTCTCTTGTACTCCAATTAACTAGTGTATTAAATCACTGAGACATTATTATTTTTCCACCGGAACTGTTGTATACATTTATAAAACTGTTGACCTTATTAACAGATTGATTAAACAAACGATAAACTGACTCCCATGTAATCCAGCCGACCGTTAACTGTTTAAGTATTACCAGAAAAATAGCTAGTCATGCGTAGAAACACTTGTATGTTACTACCATACTATTATTGACTACTTTTATATAGGTAGAAAAAGTACGATGGCTTTCAAAACTTCAGATAAAGTTTGGAAAATACCTGTCGCTCATTGGATGTTGTTTAATTTGAGAGTCATTTTGTTTGAACACTAGTAACCAGTGTGATGTGTCTGGTCCTTTCTTTGGTGCAGACTGAATTCTATCAGTTGGGTTCTAGGTAGCTCGCCATTAAAGGTGCACACTGATTTGATGTTATTATATGGTTGGAGGCAATAGGCGAGAAGCTCTCAACGTAGGTCTCGTGCCAGATAGTACTCGTCAGCAAGAAGTATCTGCAACGTTGGAGGAAATCATATCCCTTCTGAGATTCAAACCCGCGTCACCAAGCGCTGCAGTCAGAGAGGTTACCAGTGAAATATTGACAGTCATTATATTGTAGGTCTTTATTCTTTCTAATCAATAAGTTAACTTTTAGAGCAAGGCAAGACTGAATTCACATTGCTGATTTGTTAAACCTTCTAGAGTTTTGTTAGTTGTATCCACACAAGTATATTCTCGTTTTGTTTCTTTCGTCCTGTACTGATTTTAGAGGTAAAACACTGTAGAATTTTATTACTTCTGGCTTGTCTATAAATACTACGCTTGTGTCAAATCGTAGAAAATATGCATCTCGAAATGACAGCGAAAAGTATAATAAACTCAACAAAGATATCTGTTCAGATGGTTTCTCATCGCCGGCTGGCTCTACGCTAATATTTAGTTTTTACAGCAAAATCGTTTATCAATCAAGAGGTTATTTTAGTGAATCAGTTTTAAATATAGGCATGAGTGAAATAAAGAGGTCGAAGATCATCAAAACGAATAACTTATAGATGTTAGTAATAGTATATATAAATTTCGAAGGAGCGGGGAAGTTTAATTGCGGAACTCAATATAAGTGAATTCTTTGGCGTTAGACACAAATTGTTATGTAATCAAGAAATTTGTGAAATAATGATGTTGTAAAATAAAAACACGTTAACAGAATTACTTAGAATTGTAAAAATAATAAAATAACAAAGTCAAAAAGTGCTTTTAATGCCAACTAGGCAGATAGTCGGCCAAGTTTGGCCACGTCAGGTTATGTACGAATTTCTTCTGAACACACAGATTTAGCTTGTTTCAATGAATTCCAATTTCCTCCACTGTATATGAAAGTCTTAATAGTAGACAATGCGAGAGACTGGGTGATGTACGACAAAGAGCTCGAAAAGCTTTGTTAGAGTCGACTTGATATCCATGTTTATGTCGACAAAATGAGCTAGAATTGACCTGCGTATAGCTACTTTATTCGAACCTTACACAAACCAATATTGGAGGTGTTCAGAGTCTTGCACACTGTCTGATGTAATCCGACTAGTGGTGGATAGCAATAGAATCTACAATGTGTATTTTCTCTTATTTAGAACTTGTTAGCTGGCCTTACTTGCTTCTTAAGTGACCGAAGGTGTTTTCTCTAAAAACCGGAATCCACCACACGCCATCTTAAACTCCGAAGCGTTATGCCTTAAGTCACCGACTGATTGACGTCACAGTAACCATCCAAAAATGTCAAAGCTTTCGTAATATAATACAACATATCTACACACATGGGCCGATAACTTCCGATCAATACGTGCCAATTAGAGGAAAATCTAGATCAATTGATTATATAACAACTGACACATATAAGAAAAGAAAGGTGGCTCTTAGGGTTGAGTGGTTCAAAAGTTAAACGCTTTATCATCTTAAGACGTAGGTGACACGTCGGAGACCTAGTTGGAACACCATCACTCACTGTAGAGGTAGGTATACTCAGATGGCAAGTGCCAAATACAGCAAAATATGAATCCCAGATTACAATGCTGACTACCACTAACCATATGGCGTTCATTTTATATGATTATCCAGATGAAACTGAATTATGCTGAAAATTACTCTCTACTAGTGAAAACTACAAACTCTAATCCCGGTTTATCGTAGGTGACGTCACTGAATTTCACGAAGGTGTGCATGGGTAACAAACGGTTATCTGAACCATAAAATAAGTAAGAATGGAGAATTTAATATGTGAGAATGAATACTCATGGATATGTGTTAAGGCCACCAGGATGAGAAAAGACAATAATAATGTTGCTTTTATTCCAGACACAGTACCTGGTGGTACAGTGTGGAATTTTCAGCACATATCTACAATATTGCATCTAATTTCATCGTACATTTAGAAGGAGTATTACAAAAAAAATAAATATAAAAAAACGACAACAAAAACCAAAAAGAAACACAAAAATAACAAAAAATGCAAATAAAAATATCAAGTATAAAGAAAGATAAACACCAATAATAAAAAATATTTCAGTATTGGGTAGTGGAAGCTATGATATGTGTATGTGTGGTGAACAGTAAAAGGTATAATCAAACAAAAAGTTATGAAATGTTATTAGGAATGTTTGTAGCCAAGATGATCAGTTAATTTGATTGAACTTCACTAAACAACCATTAAATAAACATTTTAGTTTTTTCATTGTCAGCACTAATTTAGTGTTTGTTGTGGTAGTGTGAGTAATCATGCATAATACAAAAATATTAGTATGGTGATAACGGCGTTCACAACCAAGACTGTCAGTAGAATCTCTGTTATTAGTGGAAAGAAACGTATAAATCTAAGACTTTGTCTTTCAAAGAAGATATAGTTACCGAACTATTGTCGTCGAACTTTCAAAAAATACTAGCTACAACATAGTTTACTTTGTTCTGAATCCATCAGGCGTTGTATGCGGCTGAAGGATAACTGCCTAGTCTGGATAGTTCATTTTGCTTTTATAACTTTAACTGCCCTTCTGGAGACAGTCACTCGAATATAAAGACCTAGCAAGGCCCCTTCCTCCTTCTTGAGCATTGTTTAATGTGGTCAGCAAAGTAATCATAATCACGAGTCACATACCTTAACTTACTTGATGGATAAGGAGTATAAGGTTGTTAACAATCATGGTTTTACAATTCAATACAAGGTTCCATCTCAATTCCTAAAGCTTATGCGCATTGGATTGCTAGGTATAACCATTACGAACCAGGAAGTAATGGGCAGTTGTTTCTCCCTAGTAAGGAACTCATCGTTGGCGCGCAGTCAACACAGGATTTAGGACCCAGGACCTTTCCCTTAAAAGTCAAGCTGGTAGACCATTCAGCCACTAGGACCCAAATCAATGACCAGCTCAGGGATACCCACTTCTACCGATTCATGAATCTAGAGCGATCATCAGCCAGTATTATCGACGAGTATTTATCCTCACTCGCAACCACTGGTCACGACTTCTGACTACATTAAACCTGAAATAGATCAAGTACATACAGAACAACTCTTGAAACATTCATCTAATGACCGCCAGTGACTGACCACAGGATGAAGTTGCCTGCAGTTCCGACGACAATGACTGGTGTCAGTCACACTGAAATCCCCAAATGGTAGAAGTTGGAATTCATGGACATTGTGCAGCGTCTCAATGACCAAATGGCCTACAGTTAGAAATGTAAGCGGAAGCTCCTGGGTTCGAACACTGTGTTGCGTGTATACTACCTGTGGGTTCAGTACTTACCAGTTTTCAATATGCGTCTCACACTTTTATCAGTCCGTGATCACACTTGAAATAGATATAATCTCTACAGGTTCACTCTTAAAAAACATTAATTTTCCCAATTGTTTATTAAAATGACTATTGCCAACATTATAAGTGCTTAACTCTGATTGGCTAGCTGGCAACCAATCAAAAGAAGTTAGGAAATCTATTTGAAACAAGATTTACAACCACAAGGATTTTTTAAAAATTTTCTTCTTTGCTTATTATTCTCACAACCAGGGATTTAATTGTAAAATTATGTTGTAAAAATAATGCCAGGCTAGAAAGTTTCGAGGATATATAATGACTTTTAAGCAAACACTTGGATTACAGACTTGCTCTAAACATAGAAAAACATGAATTCTCCACATCTGACATCGAAGACTGACGACTTATGGAATACTCGCGTTATTCGTATATCTGTCTGAATGGATTAACACGTTGCCTTTACTGTACTTGAGACTATCGTGTTTAATAATCCTACGTCTTCATAATAATGAGTGGAGTATCTAGTCATAAGAGTAGTGAAGCCTCCAGTGGATTGTCACATTCAACATTTGATGATGTAAATCATGATTTTTATTTCGACGTTGGATATGTAAATAAAAAGAATGTCTCATGTGATAAAGTCGCACTGGCTGGAATAGCACGTCGTGGTGCAGTTGTCGATGTTGGAACAATCATGGTGAGTAGAGCTTAGCTTTCTCTTTGTCATAGGGTGTATTTGTAAATGAATCGATTTTTCTTGAGTTATATATATATATATATGTTCATATTGAGTTCACTTTTAACGGTTTGAAAAAATTTGGGCAATAGGTATACGTGATATTCTTTAGAGTATAAGGGTTTCTGTATTTCCCAGTAAATGAATGAAAAACAAAACGATATTGCTGTTTTCACTGACGTTTCACTATCTAAGGATTTTAGCAGCTTTATACAAGTATTACTAAACCAGAATTTACAAAATCTCGGCTTATATACAATAATTTAATCGTCTTTCTTTAATAGGAAGTAATTTTTATTGAGTTGTCAAGTCAGACAGTTGGTAAAGATAACAAAAAATAGGTTGTTATTGACCATGCATATTAAAAAACTATATGACTATTGTTTTATCCCATCTTATACTTGTTCCACAATACACTTTCTGATATGATTCTAATTCGCCTTTACTGGCTATTGTATGCTTACAATAATGGATTTATAATTCTAGAGCCTGAAGAAGAATTTATTGAAACCACAATTGTTCGCTCTAAATATTTTGTTCTGAATAAATTATGGGAATATTTAATTTACAAAAAAATAGGTGTAGATTTTGGGATTTGATAGATGTGTGAAATTATAAAGGCACCATGTGTTTACATAATGAAATTGTTAATTTAAATTCGTGTCTAGTTTATCATTTCATGGGGAAGGGGGCCCCTGTTTTAGTCAATCATTCCTATTCAGACAATTTGTATTCCATTTTGGTGTGAAGTGCTTCTGATAGCAGGCGTTGTTTTTTAGTTTCTTAAATATTTCTGAATTATTTCAATATTGTCGAAATCAATTTTATGACCCGATTCTAAAGCGTGTAGACAAGTTATGTTTGATGATTTTTGGAGATTTTCTCATTTAGTTAGATTTCTCGGTGGTTGAATAAATGCTCCTAACTGTACATTTCTTCTGATTTTGATTTCTTCCTATATTTGTCCGATGTATACCGTATCACATTCAAAGCATTTTATTTCATAGAAACATTTGGATAGCGAATCCTTAGGGATTTGGCCTTTTAGATGGACAAGGTTGCTCTTCTTTGTGTGTCTGATGTTTTGAAAAAAAACTATCATATTGAGCTTATTGAATACTGTTCTGATATCGTCTGACGTCTATAATCTATATGGAATGGAAACTGTTGAGGTCTATGTTTTCGGAATACATTTTTGCCTGCATTTAATGTCAGTGTTGATCTTGCTGATGAAGTTGTATGGCCGATTATTTTGTTTGAGAGTTTCATTAATGTTTGATATTTCTTTTCTCACCCGTTATCAAAGAGTGTGAACACAAGTGAAAATAATATATATATAAATATGTTATCTCACCTCATTTTTACTTGACACATCAGTCTGTGTGTCCCAGACAAGGATTCACCCATAAAAAGACAACGGAAGTGACAGAAATGAATTCAGCGTTGATGTTTTCGTTCCACATTATCTTTACTGAAGTCCAACTACAAGTTATTATTCTCAGACATTTTTTGTCCTCTTTTTTCCTTCACGTTTCCAGTGGAACATAGGGCTTCAAGCCAGTGGCTTGAAGTTTCTGTAGCAGTGTTTATTTTACAGGATGGGGTTGCTAGCAACATGATCAACCTTTCCTCTTTATCAGCATTATATCTGGTTTAGCGAGGTGAAAGGGTGAGTCCGCCAGCTGACGAACCCCAGACCATGTTTACGGTCGGCGAGCGTCCTAACCGCTATGCCACCGACGCACACAAAGTAAGTATTTATAATTGAATACAAGTGTATTTAGAAGAAGTGTCTAATCCGCATGCTGAAATTATACTCACCATCTAAGCGTCTGTCACTTACATCTGCTGTTTTCATTCATATTCACTTCGAAGAGCAGATGCATACTTTTAGTTATGCAAGACCAACCATCAGCTAAATACTGGTACCTCCAATCACTTGTAGACCCTTAGTTGAGCTATATTTCAAACTTTCATCATATTTGTAATGTAAACTGCTCTGTATAAAGCGCACCTGAGGATCGTGCACATTAATGTGAACACAGTTATGGTTTACACATCTGTGCAACAAAATCCTTTATTGAGGGAACCCAATTTCTAAAGGAAATATGAGCTCACATTTTAACCTCAAAGTCGTGGAATTAATCGCTGGTATGTTCATAGATAAATTTTGCCGATGAGTTCCATTTAAGGACAAAACAGCTGTTAGGACCTTTCGTAGCTTGCTAAGCAACTTGGCATGTAACCTGGAGTTCGACCCGTCAGGTGATGGTCTCCTAAACTTCACCTAGCTGGTAGTAAACCCGTGAAATACTGTTAGGTTGGACCTGAGGTTTCCAGTACTCTACCCTGTAAAATTAAAATCATTCCTACAGAAACTTCATTCCAATAGCTTGAAGCTCAATGTGTCACTTGAAATTCAAAAGCACTGTATGGAAATATTATTATATGTTTGTTACTCTGAGGGTTTCTGAAGTTTTAAAACATCAAAGCCACTTAAAATCTGCCTAATTTCAAATAAGACTGTGCGTCATCGATGCAGTTAATTCTCAGTATCTAATAACAATTTTCGACATTATCAAATTTTAAACCCTTTGTTGTGTAATATATTTTTATCTCTGAAAGCCACTCCTGCATAAATATATCAGTCACGTCATCCCTCTCCTCTCCCCCATTTACTACTCAGTAATAGACTACTATACATTTCTGGTAAATAAAAGTAAGACTTTTCAGTATAGGAAGATGTTGCTGGAAATCAATAGAAGATTCCTCTCGCTATTATCCCATTTGCAATTTCCTTTTACTCAGTTTTTTCCCACCTTCTCCCCATTCGTCAGCTGAACACTCATTTGGCTTACTTCTCATCAGATTACCATTTTTTGAATTTATCGAATTTCATATCCTTTATCCAACTGTTTTACTGACTGTTACGTGACGTTTTGGGCATCACAGTTGAGCAAATTTACCGGTTATGTTACAAATCAGTCATATGCAATAATAAGCTGCTCTACGTGCTTAACCTTAAAGCTGGAGTTTCAAAAACTGTTTGTCACATTTTGATCATTTTCATACCTATTATTGGTTTGAAGTGGACGAAAGTCGTTAGAGCAGTGACTGAATGACTGAGTTTTAACCTGAGACTTTGCACAGAGGTACAACAGTTCAAGTTTCCATATTCCACGTGGCGCACAAAGGTAGACACAGGATAGGAAAAAAGTGACTGATAGTGATTTCCTCGTGGTGGTGGTTGTGCCAGCATATCTCAATATATTGACAAGCGATGCCGTCTGAAACAAATGTTCCTGTTGGTCCCATTTTGGTGGAAAACTGGCTCCGATGGCGATTTGACTAGAAGCAGTTACAGCGACAGTGAAAGTTGTTCCCGCGAAGTTTAGAAGGGGTCTGTTGGGGGAATGCCCACTGCTAAGAAATGAGGATGTTACATCAATCAGAGGTTTTTCTCAGACGACCATCATGCGAGCCTCGACAGCTGCCCGCTTTAGAGTGAGGAGTGTTAGGAATTGTTGACCGAAAAAGTGTACATTCTAAATTACCTTGTGTTGGCTGTGTGTAGCCGGCAGTAGGATCTTGATTTTGGCGTGATTCTCGGGAATATTTCAAACACACCGTGCGTTTGTGAATAATATCACTCATTTTGTCCTGAGCATGTATTTTTTACCCCCCTTTGTTGTCTGTGAGATTTCTCTCAGTACGTTTGATCAACGCTTCTCATGTTTCTTCCTCAGTACATTTCTCATCGGCATACAAATTATGATTCCTCAACTACAGACGTTCTGTATAAGTTACTTTTATTCATTTCTGAAGAGAAGTCTGTACCAGATGAGATATATTTTATCTATGAATAACGTTTTATTGGAAATCAGCCAGTGATCAGTGTCAAATGGTCTTGAGACTAATAACTCCAAATGTTGGGTTGTGGATTTCAATTTTAGACGCAAAGGCCACTAACACGAACTGGCTTTTTCGCATAAATCTACTATCGTAGGTGGCACTAAGGTCAAAAGTAAATTGAATGTTAAACACCTTGTATCTCTCTTGCTCTTCCCATATCAAGTTTGCTTCTAGAAAGATTTTTCATTTCACGTTAAATCGATCTGGTATCACCCAGTCTTCACTTTTACAATTTGCCATTTCTTGCATTCCACCTATTCTTCTTTATTACTCCCATCCCATTTTATTCTTTCCTGCACTACTTAAAAAAGACTGTTTTGTTACACTGTGAAAGGTACTGAAAGCTGTCAGTAGGGAGAATGGCATTTCCCTTAAATAAACATGTCAATACTATTGTAGATAAACATGTGGACTAATTCAACATAATTTAAATGATCAAAATGGTACATCAGTGTTGAATGCCTACATCATAACGCCAAAAATAATTTTATTTATCCTATTTCTTGCTACAAATAACCGATGCACAAATAAATATAAAGTGCTGAATGGTTACGACGAAAAAAAAATAGACGGAAAGATGCCTGTCTGAGTTATTTATCATATGTGTTAAACTGAAAAACAGGTTAACTGATTTCGCTTGATATATACAATCACGTGTGTGTGTGTCCGTCAATAATTTGACAAAGCACTTAAGTTATATGTGTAAATGAGTGCATCAACTAGGACCCATATTAAACCACATATTTATCATAAATGAAGACTTGTAAAGTGTTGTTTTAAGCGCAGGTTCTGTTCATTCGATTGAATTGAAGATTTTATTACAAGATGAGCATCCCTCTACTTGGCATCACCGTAGAAAAAACCCATTTTGATAATAGCTCACTGCTGTTGTACTTCACGACGTTTATTTTAACTTTACAGAAATGTGTTACATAAATTTGGCACTTTTGTTCAAGCAGTTCACAGTGGGACACAGGGCTTTAGCAGTTCATATACATTTCACTCCGTCCTACAAATTCCTTTTAATTTGGCCCCATGAGTTCCTCGAG